TGAACAACCTTGGCTTATCTGGCAATGATGCACGAGTACATCTTTGCGATACGTCTAGTTTTATTGAAAATTAGATGAAGACGGGCTTAAGTAGCGTAAGGATAAAGTTTCTAATAACCGTCTGTTGGAGATTTTCAAGTGTCGAATTGCGCAACGTCGCTGGATGAACTTGCGGTTGAAAAAAAAAAAAAAACATAGAAAAAAGAAAACAAGTAAAATGACTGGTATAGCAAGTCGAGAAGACGAGGCATTCTGTACTGTACAAAAGCCAAGAGCAGATGTTGCGTCTGCAAGGTAAGCTAGGAGCGACTGACTCGACAGATTTCGTATTAAAAATTCCGCACCTTTGTGTGCTCTCGTCTACTTCCTCGTACCGGGGAGGCAATGTCCGTTGCACGTGGCGTGAATCAAAGAATTGTAAAAGTGCACTGGTGGCACTTTACATCGGAGACGTGAAAACGAGGAAGGGCCATTCGGTGGGAGGGGGTACACAAGTCGATTGATAAATAAAAAAAATAAAGGTAAGGTACATGTCGTTGGCGGCCAATGAAGGAAATTAATAGCCAATAATAAGGTAGTTATAAAAGCCATTCAATTGTCCACTTATCCCACTCGTTAAGTCGTTATGTCACGCTCTATTGTTTTGGGTATTCAAGTTATATACACGAGCCGAACGATTAGTCGATTGTCTCGTGCCGCTAACGAGAACAATAGACCCGGCAATTTAATTCGGCGCACGACAAATCCGTGCAATATCGATCTATTGTCGGGCGAGAACAGCCGGTAATTAATATATCATAAGGATACAATAGCAACGAAGATAAAGCACAATTGCCACGTAGGACCCTGACACGCTAAAGTTAAATTGGGCGCGATTACGTTGGAATTGATTTAGCCTACTTAAACTGGATATTTGAGGATTTTGCATCAGGTCACATTAGGATTTTCCTAAAGGGTATAGAAACTGATTAGGGTTGAGTTAGGTTTGAGTGTTGACTCCTATCAGAACTGAGTTAGGTTTTCTCTGGACGGGATTAGATCGCTATTAGTTTGAGTATAGGTCAGATCGGGTCAGATTAGACACAGTCTAAAAGTTTGTCGCATCGTGTCGTATTGTTAGTTTAACTTCGTAAAGTAGAACAATTAATCAACCCAATAGCCGTGTGACGAATGAGCGGACGTCGAGCAGCTGACTAATTTATCACGGAGGAGTCCCGTATGGAAAATGAAGACTTGTTGTCTTTGACTTACGAAAATATTATATCACAAGGCCCAATCTCGAGACCTTTGAACTTTGGCCACCTGCCGCAAGAGCAAGTACCGTGTGGGCAAATCAAAGCCGTGTCTGGAAGAAAGTAGGCGCATAGTTGCTATTACGCGTGTCTCGTAGAAAGATCATGGGTCCGTGGGCCGCGTGTGAATCGCCCCTCCCGCCC